CCATGCGATTGCATGGTTTTAACTTTTTTTTTCCGCCGGACAGTTTTTAGTATTTTGGCCATAACTTTTTCATACGATGTCTGATTGAGGTAATTCAAGTTGCGTTGAAAAGCTAACTTAAAGGGCTACAACTTCTATTCAGATATCAACTTCCAATTCGATCATCTACTGTGTCAACAACCGGTCTCAATAGGAGGCTGAAAACTGGTGCGAAACTTTTCACATTAAAAGTTGATATTTGATAATGTTTTGGCTATCTTTCACCCCTTTGACTCATTGCTTCATCCAATTTACCTCTAAGACTCTTGAATATTCATCACAAGGTTAGAAATAGGTTTAGAATATTTGCACTTTAGTCCCTGAACTTTCACTTTCTTCCAATTTGGTCCTTTTTCGCTTGGTTCACCTCAATTTCGCTACATTCATCACTTTGTCCCGTAAAACATAAATTGCATAGAATTAAGCTATATTCCAACATTTTAATCAACAATTGCTCATATTTTGACAGTAAAATAAGTATGTAAAAACACACTTATCAGGTGTTTACCTACAAATACATTCCGAAGCTTAATTCTGATGTCTATATAGTCAGGTTTTATCCCCAAAGAAGTGGCAAAAAGGATACATGTAGGCTGTAGCTGAGTTGAAAATAATGAAAATAAGACATAGTTTGTTGTATAGTCGTGTTTCAGTCATCAACTAAACTGCTGAACCTAATACACGCACGTATGTACATTAAGAGATTCCAACAGTCCACCGAAGACTTTGTTTGTCATGTTTGATAAGGATCTGGTTGTTTTGAAATTTCATGTAGTCGACTTTAAATTACTTGAAAAATAGTTTTGTGCTCCATTATTGAAGTGAGAACTAATTCATTTAGTCATTCAATATTGGATTTTAATACTTAAGAGATGTGACAGCACAATTATATGCATGAGACCAATTATGTGGTGGATTATCCTATTAAGCCCAAGTTCATGTTTGTGTAAGTTCAAAATTGCTGCAGATTGATTATAGTGGGTGTTTGGTGAGAATTAAAATTAAATTTCTAGTAGATTGTGATAGAAATTTTTAAAATATGCGATGAAAAGCTGTGGTAGCATTTGACCCACCACATCCTCAATAAATTTAAAATCAATCAAATGAGTTCTTTTTGTAGTTCTGTTCACTGAGTTATAATATTTTAATGAAAGATTTAAAGCAACTAGATGTATCTTTTTTAATATATTCGTACTGAGATTCATTTATATTATGAACAGATAGTAGCTCTATTCGAAACAAGTGTCAATAATTTAAATCATCATTTGCTTAATTTATTTTTAATCAGTGCCATCTCTAGTTTTGACATGAATTTGTGTTTTCATACGAGAATACCTATACTTTGAGCACGTGAAAATCTTTATTGCATCAATTTGTTGAGGTTTTATTTTGATTTCTATTATCAGTCCATAGTTAGATTCGATTATTATTTAATAATTTTCGTGTTAGACCTTCACCTGTCACTACCTCTTTCAATTTGAATGTTGGAAGGTTGTTGCTTAGACTACCCAATACCTCTAGCATACATCATTGCTAAAAACAATCACGATCAAACTGAAGTTGAAAATGACCAAAAAAAAAACCTCAAATCTTGCTTAATTTAAAGGCACAAATCTTTATACTAGTGCAGCAAACAAAATCTTTCGATTGAAAAAATTGTTACAATTGAATAATTCTGCTACACCATAGTATCATTAGATACGAAAAATAATTTGATACAAAATTGGTTCTGCTACACCATAGTATCTTCTGTTCTAATTTTAGGTTTTTAATTAATTACCAATTATGAGATCATTATGTGATAAGCAGGACGTCGGTTGCATGGCAACAAATCTGTACGATAGTAACAGACAAAAAGTTCAGAATTGTATCAAATGAAACAAACATATGACTTAGTCAAATTCAACTCACACGTCATTGCTTACGCACCTCACCTCATAATCTCTTAGTTTTAGGGCACGTTCAGGAGATATTAAAATTAAAAAATTAGCCGTTATTTTTTTACTTTTATTAGACAAGTGGGACCCAATAACGATCATATTTTCAATTAAAATTGGATTTTAATTCTAGGCAAACATGCTCTTAATGTTTGATTTAAGGAATAATTGCAGCAGCGGTACCAAACCTTTCATTTAGTTGTAGACTTTACTCAAACTTTTCACTTGTATCACTCACGGTACCAGACATTTTCAAAATGTCGCAGCTAAAGTCCAATGGATGGTTTCTATTAGTTTGACCGTTAGTTGACCAAATAATTTACGTTAACAATAATTTTGAATAATTTTAAAAGGTTAAAATGATAACTTTAAATTTTTTATTAACTTTTGAGTTAAATCAAGGTTAAAATTTAAAAAAAAATTTAATCATTTAAAATTAGTCAAAATTATTATCAAAGTCAATTATTCAGTCAATTAACTGTCAAACTAACAAAAATCATCCATTTGGACTTCAGCCATGACATTTTGAAAATGTCTGGTACCGTAGGTGACACAAATGAAATGTTTGATGTCGTGAGTGGTACAAATTAAAAATTTGGACAAAATCTGTAATTAAATAAAATATTTGATACCGTTACTGCAATTATCCGATGTTTAACTCAAAAGTTAATAAAAATTTAATTTTTGAACGCACATTTTATCAAAATTAAATTCTATATATTTTTAAAAAATGAAATAAGGACTAACAAGATACCATAGCCATGTAACAGTACAATAAAAGCACAACAATTTAAATTAAAATATTATGTTGTTTTACATCCCTTCTGCCCATGAGACTTGCATTGATATTGTAGACACAGAAGTCAATTTTGTGGACTGGACACGCTGGATACAATCAATAGTCAACATTAGAGAGGACCGTAAGATAGGAAAATTGGGCGTCAATAGTTGCGTGGACACGCGTCTTCTTGGATAATAAGAAAGGCGTTGTGCGTCACATCAACAGAAGAGCACAGTACAATCAGTAAGGCGTCACTTATTTGACTCTTGTTTTGATCCCATCCTTTCCGTCCAAATTTATTAGCCTGTTTGGTAAAACATCTCCTTTTCTACAGTAAATCAATTCTCATTTTCAACCAAACATTCTTCATTAAAATAATATTTTCCATCACATCAATACTTTTTTCTTCTTTTTCAACCACACATTTCCCATCATATCACTATTCAAAAATCAATTTTTCTCCTAAAAATCCCTACCAAACACACTCCT